GTAATTTTATATTAGATTGTATTTTTGAGATTTTGTATTATTTAGTAATTTAGTGATTGTATTTGTTATTCAGTATATTGTGTTTTTGTTTTGTTTATATATATATATATATATATTTCTCCTTGTACTTTGTGACCATTTTCTTTCCCTCCGGGGATTGTGTAAGAGTCAATAAGTAAATAAATAAATATGCTGGCACGTTGATCCGGCACACACAAATCTGTTCACGGTGAATGAAAAAAAGAACGTATTGACCATTGAGGGCAGCATATCAACGTCTGGGTGGGATGATAAACAGCTTCGTGGAAAGAGCAAGAACGAAGTTCCATTTAGGGTCAAGCGCTCCATGGTGTGTAGTGCGAGATCTTAATCGCCACGGGGGCACTAAATAAAGTTGACGGACATTGACCCTATCTAGAGAATTTCAAGGTCATTAACCCATTTGGGAGACATATCAAGTATACTTTTCTAATGTGAGTGCACCTACCTCGGACGCAGTGCCACATACGCTAGGTAGCACTCCAGTCCCCGGACAGCGCCACAGTCGTCACACAGCGCCAGCGCCACTGACAGCTGCCGATTTGGTGAACCGACTTACGAAACAATACTGATTATATCAGTTACAAAAAACATCACAAAATAGTTCTAGAAATCTCTGTGATGTTGAACATTCAGTTTGAATCTGTTGCCTCTTTTCGTTCATGAAAGTTTTATTTTTCCCTGATGAATATACTACGAGTACACTGCAGTAAAATAACACATTTTAATGAGGACTTTTGCCGCGATTTAAATTTTCCCCTGGTCAAGTTCAGTGACTAGTTGCACTTACATGTGGGCTTTACACTTTCGTCTGAACGTACGGCATATCACCTGATCTGACATAGGTGTTTCGTCATAAATGTGCGGATAGCGGAGGGCATAGCACATTTTGTAAAGCTCCATGTCGGATGACCCGGTCGCAAGATAATCTCGTTCGTGTATTTCTACTTTACATGGACGAAATCCCCACACATGGGCATTTTATAATTATAAATGAGGCATACAATCAATGCTGTAATCTTCATATATTCTATTTGAGGCAAAGCAGACACATTAAAACAATTTAAGAATTAGACAGGATCTGTTTACAACAGATAGACTTCAAGGAACTGAGCTTTATTGTTATTTCTCGGAAACGATCGAAAGGTCATTTCGTCGAATAAACTATTTCTTCGGAAGTTTCCAAATACCAATAAACGTGTTATGAATTTAAGGGAATATTGGGCGTATTTGTCGTAGACCCCCACCTCTCATATTCATTCTGTCAGTGCACGGGGTCTGTGAAACCGGTGCATAAATTTGGTTCGCGAGAATTACAGCGGAACGAGTGTCCAGTCTGCGAATGCACTGTGTACAGCGTTTCGAAAACCTTCGAAACACCCATTCTCTCGGAAGTGTAAATAAATGCAGATTTGTCACCTTCAACGTTATAATATTTAATTATAATAATTATTTTATTCTAATGTTTCAAATTCTTTAATCAACGTATAATTTTCGTATGACCATCATTACGACACATAACACTAATATGTGTGAAGAACTGAGAACCGTGATAGATTGTGCAGTATGTTATTGTGTTTTGCACATTTGTCGTGGAATATATTTCTTCGTTTTAATTCGATAAAATTGTTGTAAACTGAGGCAAATAAGTTATTTGTCGCTTTGCCTGTCTATTTTTTTCTAATTATCTGATATCAAGTCGACATCCGTGATAAACATTGGAATCATATTTCATTGAATTGTTTATCTTCTAAACATATGCCGAGTGCGTTCCTTATTCTACAACCATTGGTGTCGTCTGTAGCTGATCGGGTTTCAACTCGGCAAAAACAAGATGTCGAACCAGTGTACAAGCAACACGCATACCAATCTGCGTTGCCTTTCTTGGGTAACATTTCTAGCAACTTTAATAGTGGCTATCTTCAGCGTTACGTCAACGGTTTTTCTCTATTCGAAAGTACAAGAACACGAATCAAAGATACAAAGCTTGGTAGAGGAACTGCGCATATACAGATATACTTCTGTAAACCTTGTAAGTAGAACTCTTATAATTAGATTCCACCATACATTCGATGACCGTATGAAACGTCCATTTATACACTAGTACACTGCATAGTATTGATTCATCGATCCGAATTTTTAATGACTTACATACA